TACAGTGCTTTTATGTGGGATATATCAAACAGTGCTTGTATGTGGGATATATCATACAGTGCTTGTATGTGGGATATGTCATACAGTGCGCGGGTACCATCCGCTTAGTTTGGGTATCGTTCATGTACACTTCTCGAACTGCTCTCTTTCGGTCTCACAGCACTACCTGTGCCGGTTGTGATGAGCAATGCATTGTGGACTCACATGGGTTGTGTGTGGGTGGTTGTAGTGTCATCACATGTGCAGTGTGTGGGTGTTTGTTGTGAAATCACATGTGTAGTGTTTGTGTGGTTGAGTGCTGCGTATGTACTGAGTAATCGCGTGTGGCGTGGCAGTGGTGAGCTGTGTATGGTTACTATGAGGTTTCACTTTGCTAATGTTCGGGACTAGAAGACGTGTAGACGATACCTACATTAATTAAGGCAAACCGATAGCCAAACAATTTATATTTACGACACACTGACTATACATCCAATGGACTTGGTAGGCTTCAAAGTTTTATAAAACTCTATTTCTAATTAGAGAAGTAGCGTTGTATAGGCCATATATTTCGTTCATTACCAACTCATCCCTAACCACCTATTCTGTCAGCGGCTATCATGTCATCGCTGCATTTATTTAGTTCATTGCTACCCCATCCCTAACCACTTATTCTGTCAACGGCTGTCGTGTCATCGCTGCATTTATATAGTTCATTGCTACCCCATCCCTAACCATTTATTCTGTCAACGGCTGTCATGACATCGCTGCATTTATTTGATTCATTACTACCCCATCCCTAACCATTTATTCTGTCAACGGCTGTCATGACATCGCTGCATTTATTTGATTCATTACTACCCCATCCCTAACCACTTATTCTGTCAACGGCTGTCATGTCCATTGCTGCATTAATTTAGTTCATTGCTATCCCATCCCTAACCACCTATTCTGTCAACGGCTGTCATGTCATCGCTGCATTTATTTAGTTCATTGCTAGCCCATCCCTAACCACCTATGTTGTCAACGGCTGTCATGTCATCGCTGATTGTGAACCCCCAGAGGCACAAGGCAAGCATGGACGACCGACTACCGCTGAAGATGCGACAGTACTTCAAGACTAACCAGAGCAACTTCCCTCTAGATACTCGTATAGTAGGTATGACTTTTTAGGGTATGGAGTTTAGGGTTTATGTTTACGATTCATTCTAGACACTCGTACAGTAGGTATGTCATTTTTAAGGTATAGAGTTTAGGTTTATGGTTCCCTCTAGATACTGGTATAGTAGGTATGTCTTTTTATGGTTTATAGTTCAGAGTTTTAAAGTTTTTGTCCATGGCTCCCTCTAGATACGGGTATAGTAGGTATACTGTCCACCCCATCGCTTTTCCCACTGTGGCACTCTCTTGCACAGACACGGTACGTCTACACACGTCATGCATGGGGAATTAAATAAACTTTGGGGTTCGGGGGAGCTGAGTGGGTAATTTTATCAGTAGACTTGTCAACACGTCATTCGTTTTAGATGCTCGCTACTGATTGGATTTTGGATAAGATGCTAGCCTCAACTTATGACGCCCTTACTGTGCATGAGGCTAACACTCTCCCGCCATATGCCCATACCCACAGGTTTAACGTCTATTACTCTCCCGTTATGCTCATACCCACAGGTTCAACGCCTAACACTCTCCCGCCAAGTCCATACCTACAGATTTACACACTCTCCCGCTATGCCCATACCCACAGATTTACACACTCCCGCTATGCCCATACCCACAGGCTTAACGTCTATCACTCTCCCGCCATCCCATACCCACAGGTTTAACGTCAATCACTCTCCCGCCATGCCCATACCCACAGGTTTAACGTCTATCACTCTCCCGCCATGCCCATACCCAAAGGTTTATCGTCAATCACTCTCCCGCCATGCCCATACCCACAGATTTACACCCTCTCCCGCTATGCCCATACCCACAGGTTTAACCCCTAACACTCTCCCGCCATGACCGTACCCACAGATTTACACACCCTCCCGCTATGCCCATACACACAGATTTACACTCTCTCCCGCTATGCCCATACCCACAGATTTACACTCTCTCCCGCCATGCCCATACCCACAGGTTTAGATTATGAGGAGTTTATCAGGGAGGGAAACAGGCCCTCCAGTACTCTCAGCGAACTCAAGATACCGAAGAAGCTGGTGTGGATGCGTGCACTGGGTGAACTGGGTGACGATCCGCAGATCCACAAGTGTGTGGCCGCATGGGCGTCGGACTGGGGTGTGTGATAAAAAGGGTGTACCAGATGTGTTGGGCTCATGGTTGGGATAGTATGTCTATAACGTGTTGGGTTTATGGTTGTGATAGTATGTCTGTGATGTGTTGGGTTCATGGTTGTGATAGTATGTCTGTGATGTATTGGGCTCATGGTTGGGGTAGTATGTCGTGACGTCTTAGGTTTATGGTTGTGATAGTATGTACGTGATGTGTTGGGTTCATGGCTGTGATAGTATGTCTGTTTTGTGTTGGGTTTATGGTTGTGATACTATGTCATGTGTTGAGTTTATGGTTGTGATAGTATGTCTGTGATGTGTTGGGTTTATGGTTGTGATAGTATGTCCTTGATGTGTTGTGTCATGGTTTTGTTAGTGCCAAATTAGTTTAATATGTCATGGTTGTACTGGTACGTATTTATATATTATGATGTGCCATGGTTGTGTTGGTACTATATTTATTTGACATGGCATGGTTGTTCAGTGCTAAATTAGTTTGATGTGTCATGGTTGTACTGGTACGTATTTATAGACCATGATGTGCCATGGTTGTGTTAGTACTATATTTATTTGACGTGGCATAGTTGTTTTAGTGAGAATTTGTTTGGTGTGCTATGGTTGTTTAAGTACTATATTAGTTTGATGTGTTGTGCATCTTTCAGAGTGAAATTAGTTTGTTTTTTTTTAAACATATTAGACTTGTTAGTCATGTCACAGTCGTCAGATAAACTGGCGAACATATCTAAACAAATGATTTATTTATTCTTTATCTATACAATTATGTATTGTAAATCAGATACGTTCGAACATATCTAAACAAATTATTTATTTATTCATTTTCTATACAATTATGTATTGTAAATCAGAAAGGTTCGAACATACACGTATACAATTGGCTCATTGCGATTAGTGGAGGTGTCCCAATGCAACCAGTCGAGTCCAATTTCATACGCACTGTCCTTACCCCTCAGAATGCGTCAGGTTCATATCTAATGATTCTCAAGGCGTACCTACACCGAATCGATTTATGGTTTAGGGTTTGCTGTATATCTACACACCCACACAAAAAATCGTGATTATCGTATCCATACCACTCATGCTTATCTTATCTGTGTACTAATGACCTGCAGGTGTGGGTGTCACTCCTATGAAGGCCGTGGGGTCAAGTTTCGTAAGTCCTGAGGTGCGCATGTGCTGTTCGCTTGACCACGCTATGTGGTTCAACGGAGACTTCCGGGCAGACGAGTGGATGCTGTACGAGATGGAAGGCATACAATTCGCAGGTGGAAGGTCAGAACTCTTGATATCTATGCAGACCTACCCCATTGCCCGACGCAGATGTGTTCATGTGTATAGATACAAACGTACAAATGTAACTATGAACTGCAAATGTGTACATGTATATAGATACAAATGCAACTAGGAACTGCAAACGTATCTATGCACCGTATATGTAAATAGACACAAATGTACAAATGTAACTATGAACTGCAATAGATACAAATGTACAAATGTAACTATGAATTGCAATAGATGCAAATGTACGAATGTAACTATGAACTGCAATAGATACAAATGTAACTATGAACTGC